ACAAAAGGGGAGAATTCTGGCAGCTGGAAATCTGGACCTGGAAAAGCTACGTCAGGCTACCTAATCTGACAACTCCAAATGAGTTGAAACTTTACGAGGATTTTTTATGGAATATTTGAGGAATATTGTAGCAAATAAGTACCAGAGGGGGCCCACCAGGTGGGCACAACCCACCTGGGCGCGCCAGGGAGCCCACGCGCATCCTTGTGGGTTGTGCTCGACCTAGAAAAAATAAGGAGAGGACTTTCGGGACGAAGCGCCATCGTCTCGAGGTGGAACTTGGGAAGGAGCACTTTTGCCCTCCAGCGAGCGATTTCGCCGGGGGAACTTCCCTCCCGGAGGGGGAAATCATCGTCATCATCATCACCAACAACTCTCCCATCTTGGGGAGGGCTATCTTCATTAACATATTCAACAACACCATCTCATCTAAAACCCTAGTTCATCTCTTGTGTTCAATCTTTGTACCGGAACTATAGATTGGTGCTTGTGGGTGACTAGTACTGTTGATTACATCTTGTAGTTGATTACTATATGGTTTATCTGGTGGAAGATTATATGTTCAGATCCATTATGCTATTTAATACCCCTTTGATCTTGAGCATGATTATCATTTGTGAGTAGTTACTTTTGTTCTTGAGGTCACGGGAGAAATCATGTTGCAAGTAATCATGTGAACTTGATATGTGTTTGATATTTTGATGATATTTATGTTTTGATTCCCTTAGTGGTGTCATGTGAACATCGACTACATGACACTTCACCATATTTGGGCCTAAGGGAATGCATTGTGGAGTAGTTTTTAGATGATGGGTTGCGAGAGTGACAGAAGCTTAAACCCTAGTTTATGCACTATTCTGTAAGGTACCGATTGGATCCAAAAGTTCAATGCTATGGTTAGAATGTATTCTTAATACTTTTCTCATAGTTGCGGATGCTTGCGAGGGGTTTAATCATAACTAGGAGTTTTGTTCAAGTAAGAACATCACCTAAGCACCGATCCACCCACATACCAAATTATCAAAGTAGCAAACACGAATTAAGCCAACATGATGAAAGTGACTAGATGAAATTCCTGTGTACCCTCAAGAACACTTTGTTTATCATAAGAGACTGTTTTGGCCTGTCCTTTGCCTCAAAAGGATTGGGCTACCTTGCTGCACTTTTGTTACTACTATCATTACTTGCTCGTTACAAATTATCTTGCTATCAAACTACTCTGGTACTTACAATTTTAGCACTTGCAGACATTACCTTGCTGAAAACCACTTGCCATTTCCTTCTGCTCCTCGTTGGGTTCGACACTCTTACTCATCGAAAAGGTTATAATTGACCCCATATACTTGTGGGTCATCAGTGCAGCTCCAAGCAGAGCGTCGTGGCGGGATCTACGTGTGAAGCGGAGTACATAGCTGCTTCGGAAGCAGTGCATGAAGGAGTCTGGATGAAGGAGTTCATATCCGATCTAGGTGTAATACCTAGTGCATCGGGTCCAATGAAAATCTTTTGTGACAACATAGGAGCAATTGCCTTAGCGAAGGAATCCAGGTTTCACAAGAGAACCAAACACATCAAGAGATGCTTCAACTCCATTCATGAAGAGTTCAAGGATGGGGACATAGAAATTTGCAAAGTACATGCGGATCTGAATGTGGCAGACCCATTGCCTAAGCCTCTTCCGCGAGCAAAACATGATCAACACCAAGACTCCATGGGTGTTAGATTCATTACAATGTAATCTAGATTATTGACTCTAGTGCAAGTGGGAGACTGAAGGAAATATGCCCTAGAGGCAATAATAAAGTTGTTATTTTATATTTCCTTATTCATGATAAAGGTTTATTATTCATGCTAGAATTGTATTGATCGGAAACTTAAATACATGTGCGAATACATAAACAAATACCGTGTCCCTAGTAAGCCTCTACTAGACAGGGCTCACTGATCAAAGATGGTTAAGGTTTTCTAACCATAGACATGTGTTTTCATTTGATAACGGGATCACATCATTAGGAGAATGATGTGATGGAGAAGACGCATCCGTTAGCTTAGCATATTGAATGTTCAGTTTATTGTTATTGCTTTCTTCATGTCAAGTACATATTCCTTCGACTAAGAGATTATGCAACTCCCGGATACCGGAGGAATACCTTGTGTGATATCAAACATCACAACGTAACTGGGTGATCATAAAGATGCTCTACAGGTATCTCCAAAGGTGTTTGTTGAGTTGGCATGGATCGAGATTAGGATTTGTCACTCCGAATATCGGAGAGGTATCTCTGGGCCCTCTCGGTAATACACATCATAAGAAGCCTTGCAAGCAAAGTGACTAATGTGTTAGTTACAGGATGATGTATTATGGAATGAGTAAAGAGACTTGCCAGTAACGAGATTGAACTAGGTATGAAGATACCGACGATCGAATCTCGGGCAAGTAACATACCGATGGAAAAAGGGAATTGTGTATGTTGTCATAACGGTTCTACCGATAAAGATCTTCGTAAAATATGTAGGAGCCAATGTGGCCATCCAGGTTCTACTATTGGTTATTGACCGGAGAGGTTTCTCGGGCATGTCTACATAGTTCTCGAACCCGTAGGGTCCGCACGCTTAACGTTCGTTGACAATATAGTGTTATATGAGTTATATGTTTTGGTGACCGAATGTTGTTCGGAGTCCCGGATGAGATCACGGACATGACGAGGAGTCTCGAAATGGTCGAGAGATAAAAATTGATATATAGGACGATGGTATTCGGACACCGAAAGGGTTTCAGAATGCACCGGGTAGCCATCGGGTCACCGGAAGGGGTTCCGGACACCCCCGGTAGGTGATATGGGCTTAATGGGCCAAGGGAGGGACAGACCAGCCCACAGGGGGCTGGTGCGCCCCTCTCCCTGGCCGGCCAGTCCTAGGGAAGGAAAGGGGGAGGGCTAGCCCCTCCCGTCTTTCCCTCTCATGGGAGAAAGGAAAGGGGGGCACCTCCCTCCCCTGCCTTTCCCCCGCACCTATATAAGGCAGAGGGGGTGCGCGGCTTGGGAGAGACCCCAAGTAGGATTCCTCCTACTTGGGTGCCCCCTTTGGCTGCTCCTCCCTCCCTCCCACCCACCTATATATATATATATATATATATATATATGTGTGTGTGTGGGGGGGGGGGAGGGGGCGCCTAGCACACAACAGACAATTGCCTAGCCGTGTGCGGCGCCCCCCTCCACAGTTTACACCCCCGATCATATTTTCGTAGTGCTTAGGCGAAGCCCTGCGGAGATCACTTCACCATCACCGTCATCACGCCGTCGTGCTACCAGAACTCATCCACTACCTCGCCGTCTTGCTGGATCAAGAAGGAGGAGGACGTCATTGAGCTGAATGTGGAGGTGTCATACGTTCGGTGCTCGATCGGTTGGAACGCGAAGAAGTTCGACTACATCAACTGTGTTGTCAAACACTTTCACTTATGGTCTACGAGGGTACCTAGACACACTTTCCCTCTCGTTGTTATGCATCTCCTTGATAGATCTTGTGTGAGCGTAGAATTTTTTTTGTTTCCCATGCAACGTTTCCCAAGATCCCCACCCCCGATGTAATCAAAACTGACCTATGAACCCTAGAAGCCGCCGGTGCAAAATCGATAGATGACATTATTTTAATCCCTCCACTCCCGATGTGTTCAATCCCCTCCCTGACTCTCCAATCGCGTGCTCAAATCAAATCTAGCCAGAGTCAAAAGCAGTAAATCTAGAGAGAGGGCAAGAACTTAGCGCCATGGCCGATCCGCTCCGGTGGAGGCCTGTCGTCGCTCCAGTGGTTGCCGACGTCTTGGATCGTGTTGTTGTCACTCCGGTGGTCGCCGCCGCCGGTGTCAGTGGGGGAGAGAGAAGAGAGCGGTGAGGAAGGGAGGTGGGGTAATTTATGACGACGCTTCGGGAAACAACGCGACTTCTCGAGACCGCGTCGACGCATGCAACCGCCCATGCCCACGTGCCTAGGGTTGCACCGCTCGGGCCTGCCTCCATAAAAACGGCAGATTTGAGTGTTCCTCTGGATGTAGGCCCACAGAGGTGCTTTAAAATTTGTGCTATGCAGACCCAATAATGCGGTAACCAAACGGGTCATATTTTTTTCCGCGCGGGCCTGGCTGGGGTATATGCGGGCTACCAAACGCATCCTATAGGAACATGGGAGGATTTGTCCAAGTTGAGGGTGTAAAACTCCTTGCCCGTGCTAGTGTTGAGGAGGCTAAGGCTTGTGCGTGTGCCATTGGGCTGAAGACTACTCTTTGATATGGGTAATGAAAATATCATAGTTGAATCTGATTGTGCTGCTGTTATATCAAACATTATGGCTCCTGTGATCCCTTTAGCAGCATGGAGATAGCATTACATGGTGATTAGGGAGACTATTGTTATCCTGAAGATAGGGAGAGATAGCAACAAGTTTGCTCATGAATTAGCCAAGCAAACCCAGATCAATGGTAAGGGGGGGCAGTCTATCTGGATCAACTACCACTGGATTTGGCACTGCTGGTGCTATCTGATTGTAATGACCAAATGATGTTTTAATATAATTGCAATCTTTCCCTAAAAAAATGCTGGGTGATGAACTCACCACTCACAGGATCCGGACCGAGTGTTTAGTACATACAGTATGCCTCACGAACCGAATCCCGCAAGCAATGAACATCCATCTTATTCTAAGTATAGTCAACAGTTGTACATTTTGTACTATTCTGGCAGCAGCCTCCTATTTACAGATAGGATTCTCACACAATAGCCAATCCCATCGCAAAATAGAATCGTGTATTGGTACAACCTCAATCTCTCAATATACCAAGGATGGTGGGTCTATCATCACTACACCAAGCCTCGTGAGAATAGCAGTGTCAGCACAAAACTTAACCAGACAAGCCAACACCAACAATCATGCTTGCATCGCTGGCGTTTCTGGATGAAAGGCGGTAAAGACCGAAATCTTCCATGTTTTGGGTACTGCCATCAGGTGTTGTCCGGCTGACCTGTTCCGTTTCCGAAATGAAGTAGCTCTCTTTCTCTTAGTTTCTTGCTAAGTTCTTCTTTCGACGGTAGTTTCCAGCCACCCTTCATGGCAGCAGACCACCACGCCTTGAGCTCATCCTAGAAAATACAATAAATTTCTGTCATATACATAGATTGTTCGTTGACTGACAGGACCAAAACCATTGAAAGGAGATTACATATCTCTCTTTGCAATCACATGGACAAGGCAACTAAGCATTTCTATTAATCTGTTCACTGCCGTGAACTGACTACAAACTGATTTTATAAAGCTTGACTTGATATTTTTAATGAGGTTATTATGCTGTGCAGTGACGGCCATACAACTTAAACTTCAGTCAGCAAGAGAAATCAAAACATGACACTGTTCTACTTCACAACACTGATAAGATTACTGCCTTTTATACATTACCTCATGGAAGCCATGGTTGGATACAAAGCGAGAATCTACTTGGCAAGTTGAATTCCGGATCGTTACAGAGAGGCGATTTCTATCCAATGCTCCTGTAAGAAGTTCATATTACATTGTTACTTCACGCCCTTTTTTAGGTTCATTAAAGAACTTGAAGAAAAAAAGAATCAATCTACAACCTGAGCATTTTATGTAGCCAATCGCCAAGTTAGACATTATTTTTCGAATATCAGGGAGGAGAAACAAAGTAGACATAATTATTTAGTCATTTACCATTTATCCGAGCGACATGGTATCCTGTGCCACCCAATGCTTCCTCCCATTTACCTAATCGTAGACGCAAGAAAAAGCCATCCAAGGTAGTGTGCATTATTGGTGACGTCAACCATCTGTCAAGGATCACCAATGTAAATAAGGAAACAAACATCAACTCTTCAGATCCCAGTATCTTCCTCAATTTAAGCACAACTTCACAATCAACAATACTGAGAGATATCCTTCTGTACATCAATATGATGAACAGGCACTCTAGAACCCACTGATAGAGTATACGAACTAGTATCAAATTAGAGTCAACATAGTAAACTTTAAGCAGAAAAATGAATAATATTAAGAGATGTATCGTAATAGTACTTTAGCATATACAAAGTAGGCACAGTTTGTCGTACAGGACATATATAGCATAGGATGTTTGTACAAGGAAGCATTTAATATGTGCTCCTGGCCTAAAATGAGTTCTCCCAGTAATTTCTATGGTAAAGTCAAATCTATGAACTTCCATGTTCCAGAAATAAAAAACGAGCACCAAACCCACATAAAGCTATGAGCTATATAATTTGTCCAATGGAATCTCCATTAACATGTGCCCTTTTTTTCATACCCGCAAAAAAAACCATGTGCCCTTTTCTTATGTACAGAAAACACTATGGCATCCCTGAATGCAATCATGCACCATAGATAGAAGGCAGAAAGAGAAAATGTTGAAAGGAATGCAAAGGTGATCGCGAAAATCCAGTAGGGTACCTTATGATGTCTGATCGAGACAAACGAAGCCTCTGCAAGGCTCCAAAAACAACACTTGATTGATCAATGTCACTTGTAATAATATTATAAGGTACAATTTGCTTGTTATGTGGCAGACTCTCCATGGAATTTGAACCCACTTCCTTTATTTGTACTCCTCTTCTATCAACATATTCAGCAGATGTGTTTGCTTCTAAATTATCATGAGGAGCTACAGCCTTTCCAGTCATGCTCCCTCCACATTGCTGATGTTCACCTCTTGCCAACATGTTTCCTCTTAATTCCTCATCACTGAGAGGATATAATTGTTCCTTTCCTTTGTCACCAGACCACAAAACTAGCCTTCCACCACCACTCGAAGATTTTTGAGTTCCTTGTCCTGTCTCTAGTCCATCATGGCTGCTGTAATTAATAAAAAAAGGACTCTTTCTGTGATTATGGTCTTTAGATATTCCACTGGAGATAGCCAACCTAATTGCAGAGGTCTTCGCATGTCGAAGCGCATCCAATCTCTTTGCAAGAATGGAAGCCATTGTTTCAGACTGCTTATGTTCCTCTGGAGGAATCACCGGGCATTTGCTACTTGTTGTCTCATTGTCACTTCCTGTGCTAGTGAAGTATTGTGAACTGTTGAATTCCTTCTCCACATTAACATTCTGTTGAGATGAAGGATACAGCTTATCACCTGCACCCTTTGGATTGACAGCACAAAAATCACTATTTACATTGCACGGAGTTGCATCCATCAATTTCATTGATGTTTTTGGTAAAAGCCGACTTACCCACAAGCTTTCTGTGATTCCACCTTTATTTCCCATTGCAGCATTCAAAGGGCTCGCATGGCACTCATTTTGTTTTTCTTCAAGAGTTTTAGAACATGACTTACTGGAGTTAGGCATCTTCAAGTTTCTTCCGGCTCTCAAAGGGAAAACTCCACTTTGATCTCTAAAATTCCATTTACCACCAGGTGACTCCATTTGAAGGCTGTCAGCAGCTAAGGTCCCAACAGCCACATCAAGAGTTTCTCTGCCTGTGCTAATTTCCTTGTCAAGCATAGAATTGCTACCATTCAAAGCCAGCGATAGCCTGTCGGCTTCACGCTCGGTGCAATTGATTTCTGATTGATGAGGGGTATCTCTTGAAGTTATCATAACATTGTGACTATAAAGAGATTGAAAAAGAGAATTGAAGCCAACAGACTGCAGACGATTGCTACTGTTATTTTCTAGTGGCAGAGAATGTCCTGCAAGTTCATGTCCAGTAGTCTCTGACAACTTCTGATTGGTAGTTTTATCAAACACGGTTGATCCATTAGTCAGAGAAGACATCCAGTTAAAGAAAGAGCTGCCATTTCTGTTCAACAATCCTGAGCAATAACTTTCATTGTATTCCCTCCTATATCTTTTATTCCGAGAAGACATCTCCGCTGTTGAGTATTGAGCATACTCTCGCTTTGGAGCTTTCATCCTAGGACAACTCTCCATACTCTCATTGCTATCATCACCCTCTTTTGTGTTGCTAACATAATTGCTCTGGTCGTGCATTACCTTTTCTTTGCCCTTCTCAAGCTTTGCAGGATTAACATCTGGTGTTGACTCATATCTTGCAACAGAATTAACACCGGATGCCGAATCACATTTTGAAACAGGATTAACACCAGATGCTGACTGACATTTGACAAGAATAGGCCCATCCTTATGGTGCTCCTGCATAACCTGGTCTTGGTGATCACCATTACAGTTTTCCTGCATAACCTGATCTTCCTGATTACCATTACAGTTGTCCTGCATAACCAGATCTTGGTGCTTATCACTTTGGTTATCTAGAAAACCTGCCAACTTGCCTGGGACCTTTTTTGTATTACTGAAACTCCCAAAGGATGAAGGTGACTGTGCATTCACTGCATTGTTTGGCAAGACATAGTCCCTCTGACTAATTGCTTTTACTAATCGAGCTCGCCAGGTATTATCTGCCCAAGATCTCTCATTATGGACAGCGGTTGCACAGTAGACCTGTTTTTCCGAAATACTTTGCAGGCTGCCTTTTTTTGAAGCCAGACCTGTAAAATGTCATGCTAAAATTTTAACTTTAAGAACAAAAGATATAAGTGTGCTTTAAATTAATTGTACTAAAAATGATATATTACTGTGCAAACCATCGTTGGAGCATCTTGTGGGGCAAATATCCGCTTCCTCTTTATTCAACTTATCTGCACAGCAGCTGTCAGACAATTCTTCCCCCTCACTCATCTCACTGATCCCTCCAGAGCATTCTACAAGAATTTAATCATTAAATAAGGTAAGATAATCACCCGTCCTGAGAACAGGATGATAAATATGGAAAATTCTTTGGGTTTGTTTTTCATTTGGATTATGACAATTCATAAGTGCCGACTACCCGGCTATTAGAGACATGGTAGACGAAATAAAGTGCGAAAAGCTAAGAACATATGATTAGTAACAAATCTCGCTAACAATTAGGGAATAATTATGTTTGAGAGATTTGAATAAATAAATAAATTCTGCCGGTTATGTTTGTACAGTTTGGACTCTTCTGGCAAGCTAAGCAGTTAACTGGACCAGCAATTGTTGCTAAATGCAGATCTCTAAGCCAAAGCCAAGCGTCAACGTGTCTAAACCACTCGAACTCACCAAATTAGATTGGTGTATTTTAAACTTACTTGAATCTTGTTCCTGTGATCTTATAGAAGTAGATTGTTGCGCATCAAGGTTTCGTGTTCTATTTGGACTAGCCGCGGATACTCTCACTGAATTGTCACTTTGAGTTCGAGGTTGCGACGGCATTTCTCCTGCATCCCTTAGGGTGGCATCTACGTTATCACCACTCTTGCCGCCGCCACCGCCGCTCTGCTGAGGCGAAGATATCACTATGTTCAAAGTATCCGCATTCCAGCGAAGAGAGGCTTTTCTTGTGCTTAGGCTGGACGCTGCGATTTTAATGCTGAGACCATCATCCAGAGACCACACCAGCTCAGACAGAGGGCTCATGCCGGATATTTCGATTGCATTTACACCTGCACCTGAATGTCCACCAGATGCCTTTCAGCAGACTATAAGGTAAGAGGATGTTTGAAAGAAGTAGAACAACTCTACATGCAGAAAAAAAAAACATGCTATAGCTCATGAACTAGAAACAAACTTACAGCTGCAAAAGAATCTATCTTCCTGTTGTTCTCTTTTTTTTCCAAAATAATAAATAGATTTCGTCCTAAATAATTGAGAATAGTTTTTTTTGCAAATATTCCCTCCCTTATTTGCCTGTTCACCTTGGGTATTGGCTAGGAAGCCAGATGAATTGATCTTATTACCCAATTTAGATGAAAAAGTACAAACCAACACCGACTTGTGTGATGCTAGTAATGTCGTTCTTATTAGAAAATCAAAAGGCTTAACGCCGGAAGCAGAATAAAAATATAAACAACATAAAGGACAGCATCGGCCGGGAAAAGCGAGCATAAATAAACAAAACAAGTAAGTACAGGAGAGTGATCGCTGATGCAACAGCCGACCTCTGGGAGCGGCGAGGCAGTACCATCTCGTGTCACAGCATTGCTCCCCACGGCCACGGTCGGTCCTCGGAAAAGAGCGCGCCACCACCACGCAGGAGTAGGAGGGAGTGGAAGGGGAAGAGGGATTTATCGGCGGGCGGCGGCGAATGGAGGCCAGGGCACCTACCTATCCCGTCAGCGGCGCCGGCGGCTATGGCCTGGCTCTCTGGTTGGGCTGCGGGCGGAGAATTTGGGAGCGGTCTAGGAGGGCAGCATCGCCATCGCCGCGGTGGGGAGTGCGGGTGGAGATGCTTTGTTTGTGCTGTCCGCGCCGCATGCGGCGGTGGAGCGCCGGAACGCGAGGCGGAGGCCGCGCCACGTAGAGGGCGCCTGCGACACACGACTGCCTGGGCTTCGTCCATCGGTCCCCCCCACCCGCGTTACTGCTACGGGTTTATTATTACGGGAAAGAAATCGCGGGGACGAAGACGATGGTGGCGATCCGACGGCTGTACGTCGTCCAGCCGGCGGATGTGGCGTGTGCCGGGGTCGGAGCTGTCCGTGTCGTGGTAGGGCAGCATCGCCTGTAGGTGACGGGGATGGAGATAAGCGGGAGATAACACGGGGTTGTTGAATGAACTGCGGAGTACTCCTACTTATTATGGACTCGCGAGGATAAGGGGAATCTCAATGAGTGTAAAAAGAGGGTGGGATCGGAATCGCCGTGCGCGTGGAAAGAGACTGGGATCTCAGAATCTTCCCCACCCAGAATTCCCGGTCCGTGTGTCCAGAGCTGCTTTGTTATGATGATGATTCGTTGGAACGAAGGATCGATGCTGGTATGTTTGTGCGTGTCCTTTTTATTCGGAAAATTATAAAGCCTTATAAGAATGTACAGTAGGAAAAAAACATACACCCCCGTTTCAAAATAAATGTCATGTCCGCTACACTTATTTTGAAATGTAGTAGTAGAAAACTGCAATGTCATGTACACAAGGACTATGTAGTACTTTGGTTTATTTAATTGCACAGAAAATCCTAAATGTTCCATGAGGCCCTTTTGAAATACTAGCAAAAGGTTCATGCGTTGCAACGGAACAAAAAATAAATCATAATCGTCAATAGCCATGACCATATTTTGTTGCATCGCCGAGTACGCTGTCACTCTCATTTTCATGAAATCGTAAACAATTTTTGAAAATCATGAACATTTTTTAAAACTCATGAACAGTGTTCAAATTTGTGGATATTTTTTTAAATCATGAAAAAATTGGAATTTATGAACATTTTACACTATTTCCAAACATTTTTTTTAGAATTGTGAACATTTTTAAAACTGTTCGTGACCTTGTGTTGCGGAAACGTTTGCAACAAAGATTGTGTTGCAGTTTTCGTACTCTCATGGACTTCTGCAACATAAGCCATGTTTCAGAAACAACCTGCCATAGCGGCTACCTCTGTCTTGTAGCTCCGCCATTGTTGTTCAAGCATGAGCGATGTCTTTGAAGCAATTATTGTTTCTGCAACACTGACTATGTTTTCGCAACACCACTTGTGTTGCAATCCTAGTGAGCAGCTCACCTGTTGTATTCGAGGATGGACCGCTGAAGCACGTAGGCTATGGCGGCGACACGCATGGTGCTTGTCGTGGTCCTAAGACTGGCAGTAGAAAGGGGGTAGGTATGGAGAGGCAAGATCTCAGCTATGGTGAAGGTGTACACACGAGGTTTACGAGTTCAGGCCCTTCTCAATGGAAGTAACAACCCTACGTCTCGGTGCGCGGAGGCGGTCGATTGGATTATGTGTGTGATATTACAGGGGGTGCAAACCCTTGTGCCAGAGGAGGGGGTGGCTTATATAGAGTACGCCAGGACCTCCATCGCCCTCCATTACAAGGAACTTAATGTACATAAAGTGGGGGCGTTACTAGTAACGCTAGCCTTAAGTGCTGTTAATGACCTTAAAGACTACGGAGTGAACGCTTGTCCGTTGCCACGCTGAGTGACTCCTGGTTTTTGATAGGTCGAGTGATTCTCTGTATGGTCGAGTGACGGTAGAGAGGAGGACCTCCGAATGACATGGCTGTCGAGTGGATTGCACTCGACATCTTCGACTGGGGGTCTCCTGTTGTCTCTTGGACTTCTTATCTTCTAGGGTAGTGACCTTGGGTAGGACGTATAGGTCATGCCTATGACCCTACCCCAGGTCTGTATCCTCATCAGTAGCCCCAGAATGGATTAAGGTTCGAGTGGAAAGTAGGTTGAAGTTGAACTTGTTCTCAGCTTTGCACCTTCGCGAGTGTTTTCTGCAAGATTGAAAACTCACGTTGGTACTTCAGCGTCGACTCAGCCACCTTGATCCATTCAGTGAGTTATCGACTGAACTTGTGACATCATGTGTCGAGTGCTGTATTAGAGTGCGGGATCTTGGGCGCGATTGACTGCTGTGTATCCCGGATTTCACGGGATACAAAATTTCAGGGAAGCACGCGGGACGGAGAGCGCCGAAGCGGGCAGAACGGATAAACAATGATGCCTCAATTTTTACGCTACCTTTTTCGCCACGTATGTTGCGCACGACTGTTGCGGGATTTGACAGGATTGCCCGGTCCCACGCGTCAGTCACTCAGAAGCAACCCTTTATAAGGCGACGGGGACGAGGCGTCTGCACTGTGCCCGCCTGTTCCTCCTTCTTTTTCCTCCGCCTCTCCACCACGCCCAGCTCTTCCGCTCTCGACGTTGCTGCTCTGCCGCCATGGTGAAGGACAAGACGGCGGCGCTAGAGCGCGCAAAGAAGGCGACAGGGGCGGCGAAAGGCAAGAAGCAGAACCGTGGGTCGTCATCGCGCGCGGGGTTGCCCCCGGGCTAGATCCAGGGCGATTGGATCCGGTCTTCGGTCCGGCAAGAAGATCTGGTTGAGCTGGCAGAGTCCAGGCTGATCGCCAAGGGAGCGGTGAGGCTACCGGAGGGGGAGATGGAACCACAGCCTCAACCGGGTGAGTGTGTACTGCTCGCCACTCACGTCGACCGGTGTTTTTCGCTCCCTCCGCATCCTTTCTTCCGTGGATTCCTGAATTTCTTTGGTGCTCAACTCCACCATTTTTCTCCCAACACCATCACATATTTGGCCGCATTCGTATCGATGTGTGAGAACTTCTTAGGGTGTCGACCGCACTGGGGTCTCTTCAAACACATCTTCACCATCCGCTCCCAGTCGGTCAAAAAAGCAAAGTCGAGTGACTCAAAAACCCATGTCATCCAGATGTGTGGGGGTTTAGGTATCCAGAAGAGGCATAGGAGTGCCTTCCCTGCCATGACTCTCCCTGAATCTGTTAGAGGCTGGCAGTCGACCTGGTTCTACCGCCAGGACATCGCAGCTCCAGGCCAGTCGACTGGTCTTCCCCACTTCACATTCGACCGTGTTCAGACCCCTGCCCCACTGAAAGTGACTGCTGCTGAGAGCATGGAGACGAAGATGTTGGTGGAGAAAGTGGTCCATCTTATTAATGAGGGCGTCACTGGCCTGGACCTGCTGGAAGTGTTCCTCAGTCGATGCATCCAGCCTCTTCAGGCTCGTGATCATCCCATGTGGCTGTACTCCGAACTGGACGACACCGCTCGGGTCCATCCAGAAGAAGTGCCTCCCAAGACTGTGGCTTTGTGGCTGAGGAGCATCACAGGCAATCAGGACAACCCTAGAGGATCTAGGCAAGTCATCCCCTTCGGCGACGATAACCCGCCTGACAAGGTATGTTGTTTGTTCCGACTGTTTCACGCTCACGCTCTGACTATACTTGATGTTGACAGACTTGTACTCGACTGATTTGTCCTGCAGGTATTCGCTGAGATGCATTCGATGCCCAACGGCGAACAAGCTTTGGAGCCAGACCAGGAGGGAGAGGACAGTGCGGAGGAGAGTGGCGAGTGGGAGTCTCCGGATGAAGAGGAGGAGGAGGAGAGCGAGGAGTCGGACGATGAGGAAGAAGTCGACTCACCGCCGTGCTCCAAACGTCGATCCAAACAACAACATGACCCGTCTGGCGGGCGCGGGAAGAACGTGGCTCCCAATACCAACACTCAGAAGCGCACTCGGACGTCGACCCCGGAGCCGACGGAGAAGGTGGCCAAGAAGCCCAAAGTTGCTCCTCCCAAGGCTCGGAAGACTTTGCCACGAATCAAGATGGACGTCCCTGTTGCTTCAGGGTAAGTGTCTCGCTTGTGTTTACGTAGGTCGACTGAAGTTTTTGTTCTGACCAGCCAAATCATGTATCTTTCTAGTCCTACCTCTGCTGCCACTGACATGGACATCGACAAGGCACCAGGAGACGAGGAGGCCACCTCACGAGTTGGTAAGTCCGTTTGACCAAGCTTCATTAAGTTGAGTGGATCGCCAATCGGCAGAGTTTCTGATATTTCTCTCTTTCTGTAGTTCTGCACGAGGTCGTCATGCTTCTTGATGACGAAGAAGAAGTGCCTCTACAGGAGAGGAGGAAGATGGGTGGGAGCTCAGGTAGGAGGAGTCTTGAAGTTCAAGTCCCTTAGTCGACGCCGGTGCTTGAGGCAGTGGTCGAACGTTCCGGAGAGCCGGTTCGGACCAACGTCACATTCGCCAGCCCACTGACGACTGATCGTCCGTCGGGCTCGACCGCACCGACTCCTGCCGCTCCAGTGCAACTCCACGCCTTTGACCCAGCAACTTCTTTGAATGCCCTGCAGCCATCACTCTTTGCTGCGTATCAGACCCCGGACGACTCACCGAGTGCCGCTAGGGAACCTCTTCGCCAGGTGAACCTTGTCATGGAGCAGGTGAAGGTGATGCACGAGGCTAGCCAGGTGGCTTACAACGCCAGCACTGCCCTTCAAACCAATGTTTAGGTCAGCAAAACTCCGACTGAACTTTCGAATGTTGTTTTATATCCGATCACCCACTGGGGTGTTTCTTTGTTTAGAGTTTAGGAAATCTCCCACTCCACTCGACTTGAGTTGAGTCTCAGTAAACTTTCTGAACCAGTGGAGGCACGCCGAGTGCACCCACTAGGTGTAGTCCC